AGAAATTGGTGGAATCTTGGAATAGTTGACAAAGTGTATCCTGGTCCCGACGGACGAATTCGAGTTGCAGACGTTAGGACAGCCAACGGAATATACAAGAAATCTGCGGCAAAACTAGGAAGAATCGATGTAAATGGTGAAGAAGAGCAATTACCTCTTTTCATGTCTGGAAGAAATGTTACAGCGACAAAATAACATATTGTATAATATATTTGTGATAATTTGAGAGTTGGCTTGTCATGTTAGTTTTTCAGAATAATAAAAATACGTCAAGACAAAAATAGACAATTTTTACTAAAATACTCTATTGAGACTCAATAATACCTGTACTCCACTTACGTTTTTTCTCTCTGTTAACTTTCATCAAAGTGATCAATTGAAAAAACACTGTGGAGGCGTTTACAGATCAGGTTTATTCAATTTTCAAGAATTGTAGTTTCAATATAAATAATACAAATTGTGTTCGAGTTTCTTGTTGAATATAATGAATACCAACCTATGTTGTTTTTTCTTGATGACCTGATACATCCTTTTTAGTACCTGAAAGTCAAAGTTCAAATTCAGCTCCAAGAAACTGAAAGTGTTGCCTATCAACATACCTATTATATGTTACTAATAAGGACGTCGACTTCAAGAGCCAAGTTTGGAATTAAAATGGACGACTCTTGAGTCGTTTGCAGAAAAATAAATTATTTTTTATGTGATTATTTTTCTTTATTCGTATAATCTCAACTCACGATGAAAACAACTTCGCAAATTTAGGTCATTTACCCTGTATAGTTCTCATATATTATTCTATGTATTTCGAATTTCATGAATTTGAGATCATTTCTGCCGCACCCATTCTTGGATTCTATTTGAATAGAACAGTGGGACCCTAGACAGCTAGAAATATAAAGTGATAAGCATTTGAGATTCCCCTTTTCTATTGCAGGTGTTTTGGTTAACCGACTGGAAATACAAATTCTATATTGATCCAGCTCTGAGCATCATCCTTGTCCTTCTCATTCTCAATTCTGTCTGGCCTCTACTCAGGGACTCTGCTCTTATTTTATTACAAACTGTTCCGACGCACATACAAGTGGATGCTATCCAAACAAGACTCCTAGCAAAAGTTGATGGCGTTTTAGCTGTACATGAATTCCATGTTTGGCAGCTGGCTGGTGATAGAATAATTGCATCCGCACATATCCGGTGAGTAAACTCTTTCCATACAAATTATTGGTGCTATGTTCAGAGGAATAAGCGAGCGTTCCATTCAACCAATTATTACGGATCTAGAGACTGTAGCACAAAAATGTTCCCCAAAAATTATAGTGCTCAGAAATAGTTATTTGTTTCTCTAGGCAGAAAAGCACAAGATTTGATGCCGCGGCTGACGTTTAATAACCAAGGCTAGGAAACCAGTCAAGTCGTGGAATCTCCTTTTCTGCCATGTGGAAATTATAATTTTTCCTTAAAATTCGTTCCAATTTCACGCAAAGCTCGAATAATCCGTCATTTTATGTTCAGACAATGTCATTGTCAATTATTCTTATCACCAATTTGATTCAAATTATCCTCGAAATTATCACTTGGAAAGTTGCCTAAGCAGTAACAGTAGACCTCTTATGCATGTTGTGTCATCAAAAATACACTTTACAGGTTTTTTTTATCTCTTGTAGCGCACGAAAATGTTCTAGGAACATCGTACCTACCTAAGTAGGACAGGGAGAGAAGGTAGGTGTTGAAATTTTTTTTTTAATTCTGGAGGTTATGAATTCTTGGGAATTCTTCCATTGGCAAAGAATTCCAAAGCTTCCCCGTTGTATAGACGAACGAGTTTTATTCTATATTTCTCAGGGTTATTGACATAGGGATGTGCTGACAGGGCCTCTCGACTTCGTCTGACTAGTATTGCCAGTAATAGAATTATAGCAGTGATTTATGAGGAACATTTCCCGTGGAAGTATCTATAGAAGAGCGAAAGGTCGCCGACATTTTCACGATGTCCTAATGGGGTCAAAGACTTAGTGCGTAGTATTCTGAAACTGGCCGTATCTGTGCTTTGTAGATCATGAGAAGCTGTTGGGGTGTGAAGGAGATTTTCACACGGAACAAAAATCCGAGTTTTTGGGAAGCAGCTTTTGCGATGTATTTGACATAATTTTCCCATACTAGATTATTGCTGACCGAGCATAGATAAAGTGGTCTTGGCGGGAATGGTGATACCAGACATTCTTCAGGCATACTGAGTTCTGCCTTTCTAAATTAAATACAGGCTTGAGTTTTAGTGGCGTTGAATTCAACTTGGTTGTTGGTTCCCCAGGCTATAATTTCCGCAAAATCTTTATTGACAGCGTCGACTTGCCTTCGTCGTAAGTTCTTAGTGGTTGCTCCCAAGAGATCGTTGATATGAAGTAGGAACAATTTCGGTGCCAAAATTGATCCTTGTGGAACGCCGGAATCGATGGCAGTGGTATCAGACGATACTTCGTCTACCACCACATGGAGCGATCTGCCTGAAAGGAAAATCGATAAAAGATGGCATAGCTGAGGTGGTGATGGTAGTTTGTGGGGCAGTCCTTAGTGTCAAACACGGTCGAATGCCTTCGATACGTCTAACGCTACAGATGAAGATTCCCCATGTTTTTTTTAGTAAAATAAATCTCCAGTTGATCGGTGGCGAAAGCCATATTGTCTATCATTAATGATTCCTGAGCTTTCCCCCGTATGGGGGCGGCTCAGAATAACCCCCCATGGTAAATCCTGCATGTCGGAAAAGGCGACTTAAAGGATAAATTTAGGTGGTAGATGGTCTCATCGCCCGGTGAAATACCACCATATCGAATTATTGTGCTGTGAAATGGATCACTATATGTTTCAGTGTTCGGTCGGTACTTTCCAGTCTCTCCCACTCTTTTCCCCAATTTCTCCTCTCTATGAATGAAGATGATGAAGTCTCCTAGAGAAACACACTCCGGAAGTAAAATACCTCTCCATTCGAATTTCCGGGCGAGAGGTGCTCGAGGGTACTCATCTCTGAAGATTAATTTTTGCAACATCCGTGGACTCAACTAGAACATCAATGACGTCCACCATCACCTACAAACAGAAAAACCAGATATTCTGGCACTAACAGAAACTCAAGTGAATTCGTCCACCAACAAGGTCCATATGCTCTGTCCTGGTTTTCTCGATTCAGGTTCAAAGGTGGAGTCTGCCTCTACGCTAAGGCTAACTTTTCATGCCAACATGTAGAGAGTTTGAAACCGAAAGACTTTGATATGCTGTGGTTCAAGCTAGTCGATACCAAACTGACCAAATTTATCTGCTGCCTTTACCTATCGCCCAAGGAGAATATAACAACCTCTTTGAGTTTTTATCACTAAAACTGGACTTTATTCAGGAGAACCATCCAACAGCTGAACTCATAATGACCTGCTCGCTCACGTCTCACATAACAGGGTGTTAAGTACGTGTAGAAAATTCAGTAGCATGTTGCTGACGTCAAAATAAGAAGGAAAGTTCGTATGAACATATGTTCGAAAGTTATCCGTTTCTGAGATACAGTGTGTGAAAGTTGAATTCTTATTTTTGTTTTTTGTCAATAAATTTCAAAATATTTGTGATATTTGAATGACATTTGGTATTTATGGGTATTTTTCAATGACAATATCAAATTTCATATTAGTTTGTTCCTTTCGTGGGGGTGGCGCCACCTACATGTCTTTTGAGTCTTTTGAAAAGTCGTAACTTTTTTGTGCGTAACTGTATAACGTTTTATAGTCGAAAAATAGATTTATATTACACTTTTGTGTTAAAAATATATTCCTAGTAGAGTTCGCTGCGAGCAACTTTTTTCGAGTTATTGGGAAAGAAGTTGGAATTCAAAATTGATTCATTAACTAAGGAAAATTATTTTTCTTTGATTTCATTGAAAAATCGGAATCGGGCGATATTACAATTTGATATTATTGATGATAACAGTAATCAACGCCAACTTGATACTAAAACTTGAGAAAGCTTGGATCACAAGTACAGAAGCCAGGAAACTTCGCTGTCGCAAGAACGGATTGAAATAACATGACAAAAACTCGCTTGATTGTTATTTTTTTAAAATTGGAAGAGTCCATAAAAGTAGGTACAAAGAAGTGAGAATCATATTTTCCTACATTCCAATGTTGAATGTAGAAGAATATTGAATGATAGAAGAAAAATGCACTGGCTTTTCTGATATTCACTGGAGGCGACTTACAAGCCACATGGAAATAATTCGAATGCATCTATTATTTTGGATCTCAATAACTCGAAAATAGTTGCTCGCAGCGACCTCTGCCAAGAATATATTTTCCATACAAAAGTGCTCTAGAAATCTATTTTTCTTCTATGAAACGGTATACAGGTGCGCACAAAAAAGTTATAACATTTCAAAAGACTGAAAAGACATGTAGGTGGCGCCACCCCCACGAAAGAGATGAACTTACATAAAATTCGATATTGTGATTGAAAATTACTGCTAGATACCATTATTTCAAAATTTATTAACAAAAAACAATAATAAAAATTCAACTTTGACACTCTGTATCTCAGAAACGAATAAGTTTCGGACATATATTTATGCGAACTTTTCTTCTCATTTTGACGTCGCAGCATGCTCCTGAATTTTCTACACTAACTTGAGAAACACCCTGTATATAGCAGCAATCTATTGAAAAATATGGTGAAACCTTAGCCGTGACACTTATATCTCCGAAGCATTCGATCGAGTCTGGCACCATGGAGTCCTCGCCAAGCTTCCATCATATGGCTTGCCTCCCCAGCTATGTTCTCTGCTGAATAGTTTCCTCTCAAAAAGGCTCTCCATGTATTGGTCGACGGAGTTTTATCTGACTCTCTTTTGATAATTACTGGTATTCGGCAAGGATCAATTCTAGCACCAACATTATTTCTACTCTATTATTTGGCTTTGTAAACAGTGCAAGCAGGGAACTCCGAACGCGGGAATATCCTCTCCGCTGATGACTGAAATGATGGATAAAATCAATATAGTTCTTGCTGATGTGACTGGTATTAAATGTAATCAAACTGAAGTCATGGACTCATTAAAATTCTACGGGGATAAAATTGATGATTTTACCAGGCAAATGGAAACTGTTGAGGTCATGATGAAAGATTTGAATACTGCCAAACAAGAAATCTTATTTCTGAAAAATGAGTGCTCCGAACTCAGATCCGAAGTCCAGTTTCTTCAACAACAATCTAGAGCCAAAAATGTGGAAATAAGTGGAATACCTGAAAGAAAGGGAGAAATTATTTCCCAGGTCATTAAGAATGTCGGCGTTCACCTGGGCATAAACATCGTCGACTCCGAGCTCGATGAAGTTCACAGGGTCATGAGACATCCTAGTGCGACCAACATAAATTTACCGAAGAATATAGTTATCAAATTTTCAACAATTACAAAACGCAACCAATTCATTCAAGCATATCGCCATCAGAAGAAACCCGGAAAAATGTATACAATCGACTTTGGTATTGAGGGTCCTAAACAAGCTGTTTTTGTAAAAGAACACCTCTCACCATACTATAAAATCCTCTATAAAGAAACCCGAGAATTTTGTTCTGCTAATCAGTACAAATACTGTTGGATTAAGGATTCGAAAATCTTCATAAAAAAAGATCATGGAAGAGCAATACAAGTAAAGGATGAAACTACTCTACAACGATTAAACTAAATTTTCGTCCCCAATCAAAAAGTATTTAAAATCCCTTTCACATTCGATTCTAAGCTAAGGATGAAACTACTCTACAACGATTAAACTAAATTTTCGTCCCCAATCAAAAAGTATTTAAAATCCCTTTCACATTCGATTCCAAGCAATTGAAAATTTATTACCAAAACACAAGAGGTCTACGAACTAAAAATTGAGTCAAACAATGTGTTTTCCCATTTGTTGATGGAGATCCACATCATGTTTCACTAGAAATAAATCTGGAACTCAGCACAGATAAACTGATGAACGCAAAGAATTATACAAAAACATTATTCGATAAAGCTGATTATACCGGGTGTCAACGAATCTATTAGACAAGTCATAACTTCTAGACCATTAGGTGTATCAAAATGAGATTTGGTATAGGTTAATGGTATGTGAAGAGGAGAGTTTTCATATATTTTTCTCTTTCCGGTTTCACCGGAAATGGCTCCGGTTCTAAATTTTTAAAGGGAACACCCTGTATATTGTAACATTCTTGGATTTCTGAGACAATTCTAGATCAGGATGTGACATTTTCGATAGTTTTTATGCCTACTCAATATTTTCGAAGTCACTTTTGAAATTACATCTAGGTGGCCATGATTCGAAGTAAACTAATCTAAGGACCTCAGGTGATATCAGAAAATTACAATCGCGAAGTTTTAGTGACAAGTATGATAGATATGAATAGGACAAGTTGGCAAAATTACATATTCGTGTCTATTATTTTTCAAATGGCGACCATTTTTTGACAAGCATTTTCCGAAAAAAGGATATTTTGACGAAGCTAACGATACTAATTTTTTTGCGATTGGATTACAAATAAGAACATAAATTAAATATGACTGACGAAAATACTTCATAATAATTTATTTACTCTTGTCAAGTGTACCATGGATATTAATTCATTTACTTTTGTAAGCACTTCCCGAAAAAAGTATATTTTGACGAATCTAACGATACTAATATATTTGCTCTTGAAGCTTATGACACTGTCATAACCTAAGTGAGTGTTTTGTTCTCCCAAGAAGACTTGATCGAAATAACTGCAAAATATTATGCATCATACCTATCCTCGGCACACTTGACAAAAGTAAATAAATCAGTATGAAGTATTTTCGTCAGTAATATTTAATTCATGTTCTTATTTGTAATCCAATCGCAAATTAATTAGTATCGTCAGATTCGTCAAAATATCCTTTTTTCGGAAAGTGCTTGTCAAAAAATGGTCGCCATTTGAAAAATAATAGTTAGACACGAAAATATAATTTTGTCAACTTGTCTTATTCATATCTATCATACTTGTCACTAAAACTTCGCGATTCTAATTTTCTGATATCACCCGAGGTCCTTAGATTAGTTTACTTCCGATCATGGCCAACTAGATGTAATTTCAAGAGTGACTCCGAAAAAATTAAGTAGGCATAAAAACTTTCGAAAATGTCACATTCTGATCTAGAATTGTCTCAGAAATCAGAAAATGTTACAATATACAGGGTGTTCCATTTGAAAATTTAGAACCGGAGCCATTTCCGGTGAAACCGGAAGTGATCGGAAAGTGAAAAATATGTGAAAACTCTCCTCTTCACATACCATTTACCAATACCAAATCTCATTTTGATACACCTAATGGTTTAGAAGTTATGACTTGTCTAATAGATTCGTTGACACCCGGTATTTCAATAAATGACAGACTACGTCACATAAATTGGGTAACAACACTCTCACATCTGAACGTAGAGTCCTGCATTGATGTTTTTTATGGAATTGTTAACTCACTAATAGATTCCTATGTTCCCAAGAAGACAATTTCGAAAACTAAATATCCAATCTGGTATAGCCGCGTAACTAAAATTCTCATTAAAAAAAAATATCACAAAAAATGGAAATTGTTCAATAATCAAGATGACTATGATCAGTTCTCCAATTATCGCAGGTTATTTAAGCAAAACGTGAAATCTGACTATGCTAGTTACATAAGAAAAACTGAAAGTACTATTGAACATGATACAAAGTTTTTTTGGTCTTTCGCCGCAAACAAGTCGAAGAATAAATCACTACCGGTGAGAATGTTTTTTGATAACAAAACTGCAGACGACGTCGAATCAATTGCGAACCTTTTTTCTGACTATTTTTGCAGCGTTTTTGAATCAAATAACTCCCCATGCCTCGTCGACACTAACAATTCTTTGAAAGAGTCCTCCCACTTCGTGATATCGTTCATTACAAAGGAACATATACGGAATGCTATACAGAAACTAAATATCAAAAAAGGGCCAGGACCAGATGGTATCCCGACATTATTTCTAACAAGACGCATCGAGTCTATTATTGAACCCCTCCACATCATATTCAACAAGTGTCTGACGAGTGGAATCTTCCCAAAACAATGGAAAGTTGCAATGGTCGTACCAATCCATAAATCAGGGAATGAGTCTAACATGGCCAACTATAGACCAATCTCTCTTCTGAACCAACTTGGCAAACTGTTTGAAACCATAATTTTTGTCGAGCTATTTTTCCAGGTGCGAAATTCCATCAATCCATCTCAACATGGCTTTTTTGCGAAAAGATCCGTCTTAACCAATTTAGTTCCATACATACACGATACTCTCTCAAATATGGAAGGAGGTGGAGCAACATGTGCCGTATACACGGACTTCTCGAAGGCCTTTGACTATTCTATTCAATATTTTCATCAATGATTTGTCAGGTTGTTTTCATAACACAAAGCATACCCTCTTCGCGGATGACCTAAAAATCTACAAGAACATTGAAAGTCCCAGTGACTACTTAGATTTTCAATCAGATCTGGATAGATTCTCAGACTATTGCTCACGTAACAGACTCCATCCCAACATCTCGAAATGTTATCAAATTGTGCTTTCCCGTAGTAACCAACTCATTATATACGACTTGAAAGACCAAATCATCGGAAGAACTAATAGTGTGAAGGATCTAGGAATAACCTTGGATAACAAATTAACTTTTGGGCAACACATCGAACAAATAACACAGAAGTCACTTAGGAACATAGGATTCATATTCAGGGTCTCCAAAGAATTCAATTGTTGGAAATCTGTTATTCTTCTGTTCAATAGCATTGTGAAACCTATTATCGAATACTCATCTATTATATGGAATCCATTCTACAACTGCTATATTGATAGACTGGAAAATGTACAAAAAAATTCATAAATAGACTGAACTTTAGATTCAACAAGAACAGATACCATGACTCATATGAAAACAACTTGAAATTTTATAGGCTGGAAAATTTGGAATTGAGAAGAAAATGTTTTGATGTATGTTTCATATATAAATTATTCAATAGTCTGACAGATTGACCATACTGCTTAGAATTATGCTACTTCAATAGCTCGCAACACAACATGAGGAATAGACAACATTTAAGAGTTCCCCATTGCTCAAAAAACTTTCTGCTCAACTCTCCGTCAATAAGATGTATCAAAACTTTCAATAGTGTATGTAAATCAAACAATGATCTTGATGTATTCAGCTTCTCATTTATCAGGTTCAAACATGGAGTCAAACAAGTTCTGTACAATTAGTCCTTTTTAATTAGTTAAATACCGAATATATTGCCAAATAGTTATAACATTGTCAAACCTTGTACTGTTAGTTACTAAGCACAAATACTTTTCTTAAGCATTCTATAACTATAGAAAACATACCCAGTACTATATGATGAATTGTATGTTATAATGTGCCACTCTATTATTGGGCAGTGAAACACCTGCCTGTTGGGTGGCCTCAAATTTATAAATAAATAAATAAATAAATAAATACCAACGATTTGTTGCAAGCAACTTCATTCAATTTTTCAGCACCATCTACGAATTATCATGATTGTGGTTTGTTGCACGATGGAATATTTCTTTCTCAAATGTACGCACCACACCGTTTCTAGATTGAGTTTTCTTGTATTCCTCGCTCAAACTATAATGTCTCTTGGTTTTGGTACTTTCGATTAAATTTAATTGTACGTAGGTTAAGTTGGTGAGTGGGGCTAATACTACTCCCAACGCGACCCCAAATGGGTCTATTTTAGGTCACCACTAGAGGTTGTACAATTAGTTCACTGTACAATAAATGTTTTCCGTGAAGTCGGCGGCTCTGTCGTTAGCAGTTCTTCATCACTATAATTGAAAATATTGTAGAGTTCTATAGATTCAGTAAACAGATAACGAACTAAAATATTCCAACCAGTTCAATCATTTGAGAATCAATTCGAGGAGTACGTGATACACAGTACCAAAATTCAATATCTCACCAATAAATTGCAAGCATATACAACAACAGGTCAGCCATATCTCGAAAAATCCATGGAGAACTCAACATTACAATTTCACATGCAAAGCGTACAAGCTTTCAACATTTCATTTTCACATGCAAAGCGTACAAGCTTTCAACATTTCAATTTCACATGCAAAGCGTAAAAGCTTTCAACATTACAATTTCACATGCAAAGCGTACAAGCTTTCAACATTACAATTTCACATTCAAAGCGTACTAGCTTTCAACATTTCAATTTCACATGCAAAGCGTACAAGCTTTCAACATTACAATTTCACATGCAAAGCGTACAAGCTTTCAACATTACAATTTCACATGCAAAGCGTATAAGCTTTCAACATTACAATTTCACATGCAAAGCGTACAAGCTTTCAACATTTCAATTTCACATGCGAAGCGTACAAGCTTCCAACATTACAATTTCACATGCAAAGCGTACAAGCTTTCAACATTACAATTTCAAATGCAAAGCGTACAAGCTTTCAACATTTCAATTTTTACATGCAGCTAATCAGTCTTCCATCATCAATCAAAATACAAATTCTAACACAGGCCATAATCCCGAAACTCACTCTGCTGATTCGATTTCCATCAGTTCTAGTAGTTCGGCCATTAGTCTAATCAAACGGTATTTCAGGGTGGAAAGTTCTGGTGTAATTGTT